AATTTTATTCCTTAATAAAATGATACTTAATGCAAATGGGCATGCAAAAATGAGAAAATATTCAAACTTCACTAATTTAGATAAGCATAGAGTAGAAAATCAAAACCAAAACAAAATCAAAGGCAGTGAACAGGATATTTGTTACATACATATTCATTGCTACTGAGGATATAATTGGATCATAATGAAAATAACGATTGGACTTTTGATAATGATCCCTCTTGGCATTCTAAAGTATAAGTCAATGTACTTTGTACCCACATTAATTTATTTTTTCATTGATTCGAACTGATTTAAAAGAGACTGATTAAGGTCATTATAATTACATACCCATGCAACAAAGTACAATTTAATATGACAGCTTCTACATGTAGTAAAGGGTTGGATGCAAGACAAATTTAAAATTTTTTAGTAATGATATTTCCAGGTTTACAAAATACCCATTTGTGTTGTATTCATGCAAGTTCCCCATATGGTGAGTTTCTGATATTTGTCTTATTGCCTGTGTGAGACCGGAGGCCAGGAAGAAAAACGTGTTATATCTAACACTTTATTGAATCTTAGAGCAACATAGTCAAGATGCGCATGCTTAAAGATATTTCTTGTAATATGCATTATAACATACGTTTCCATTGCTGCTGTGCATGTATCTTTCTCTAATTTGCCTTGTTACCTTGAATATTTTTCATCTTTCTACTTTTTAGTGGCACTGGCAGTCATCAGTCTTTCCTCTTGTAGTTGCATTCCTGGGTAATGAGGTATTAATTTCAAGTGCATAACTTTGGCATCTGGTTTCACAGTTGATGTGTGGTGGCATACAAGAAACTAAATGTCAATTACACATGTGCCCCATGTACAGGTGTTATTAAAACTTTTGCAAAAGATTTTAAGCAAAGTGTGGATGGAACTGATAAGTCACCCACGGCCCACTAGCACTCTGAGCCAAAAGGTTAGGGGTTCAAATATCCAAGCACGAAATTTAGACTGAGACTCCAGTGTAACAATAGCCACGCCATCTTTCAAATGGGTCGTTAAATCAAACTGTCCTCTTGCATGAACATAAAAGATCCATGACAAAGTTTAAACAGGAACTGAGGAGTTGGCCCCAGTGTCTAGCCAAAGTTATTCCTCAACCAACAGCACATTTAAAAACTAAGAACATCTGGTCATCATCATGCTGCTGTTTGTAGAACCTTGTTGCACTCAAATTGGCTGTCACATTTCCTACATCAGTAAGTATTCATCAAAAGAACTTAATTAGCTGTGAAATGCTTTTTGACATTGTGAGGTTGTGAAAGGCTTTACATGGAGGAGAAAAAAGTACATGAAACTATGTATGAAATGGACCAGCCTCTCCAATATACTTAAAAATCCTGATTTTTTTCTTTACATTAATCAGCTATATTATCTACTACAATCAGCATGCAAATAGGCAAAAAAAAAACAATTTTATTTACAAATTAACTGACACAAAGAGGAAACTGTAGAATATGCACACATCAAGAAGGCACACAACTGTACATAAATGGACAAGAAACATTTTACAGTCAATCACACTCCACAGGTAGAATAGTTTAAAACCTTAATGTTTTGGAGAATGTTCATAAAGAGATGCTGTAATACCCAAATAGTCTCTTCCAAACTGGAAATGCGAATATAATAATGATCAGCAACACACAAACACTTTCTGAAATAGAAAAATACTCAAAAATAAAATGAACCTCCATTAGTAAAGCACCACTTATGACCTCAATACATCTCACATGGCTTTACCATCAACAATGTACTATTGTACAGTTATTATTGTAATATGGGAAAGTATTAAACAAAAAAGGAGTTTTAAAAGGTTATGTGAAGAATAAATATTCATTGAGACAGAAACAGAGCAAAAAGTGAAGAAAACAGCAAGAACAAATTCAAATATGGAACAGCGGAAACAGAAAAGTATTTATTACCAAAGATTCTCCTGTATCACCCATTCGCTCTCATAATATATAAAACAAGAACACTTACCAACTCCAAATATCAACATTCTACAAATTATTTAACACAAAACCCCTCAGTTATAATTTTACAGACCATTCTGAAAAATTGAATTGTTGATTCTGTAAAGATAAATGACTAACTCTGCAATTAAGACGTATGACAGTTCATTTGAATGACAAGTTGTTAAATTAGGTTGGAAACATCCAGTTGGATCTGAATGTATTTTATAATTTTAGAATTTTCTCTTTATAAATATTCAAATATTTGCTGCTATCTTCTGAATGTTGTGCATTATTTCCTGTTCAAAGCATGTTGACAAACTTCCAATGTCAATGAACTCTGCCAGCACATGTATTCCAGTTCAGGGAAAAATCTTGCTATTGCCTCTCAAAAGTAAATTGAAACTCTACATGAACTGAGTTTGAGAGAACTAAATTGCATACCCAGATTCAGACTCCACAATTCAGCTCTATACATTAAGTACAAATAGACATAATTGCAGACTGTGATAAGTACTTGCAACTGCCCAAAAATGATAGACAGGAAAAATTGGTCTTTGGTCCGTGAGCTTGTATCATACTGTCAAGGACAATCTTAGTATCCAGTAGGAGATACATTATCTCTTAGGAGAGACAAAAACACAGAAAAAAAGTTGTCCAGTTTAGGGTCTAACAAGCTGGAAATTTGGACTTTGACCTCACAATGATTGGAAAACAGTCGATATCTCATCAACTTCTGTAAACTGCAATACATGCCACTGTAGGGACTTATCCAACTCCCTTTTAAATGCTTAAAATAAATCTGCATTCATTGATAAGCCGAAAACTTACAACAATGATCAATGATCCTTGTGAAAATAACTTTTCATAACTTTTCCCCATATATCTTGATTCCTCCTACTTTTTAAAAAAAATTCAGTCTACCTATATTGATTGCACTTAATCTCTTCAATACTTTAATATCTTCAATACAATTTGCTTGATGCCTATACCTTCCAACCATAAAAATACATGGCTTTTTAAATACATTCTGATAACTAGTTTTAAATAAGGCATCAGTCTCTTCTGTACCTTCACTCGGGCCTCTCTATTACTTACATTAGAGATGGAAAATGCTGAAAATATTCCATAAATCTGTCAGCCACTGCGGACAGAGCCGAGCTAACATTTTAGGTCGATAGCTTTTCATTGGATTAACTTTAACACTTGACAAGTGAGGGGAACAAAACTAATCACAGAACTGTCACTGTGACCGAATTAAATTTTGACACTAGGACAACATCTTGTTAGGTATTGTCTTAACACTCAAGCTTTTGCTGTAACTTCATAGCACTGGCTATAGACCTTTAACAGTTCATGGACACTTGGATCTTTCTCTATACTTTTGCCTTAAATTCATAATCCTGCATTGTGTACACACTCTTACCATTAGCCAAATTCACATGCATAACCCTACATTTAGCTATGTTAAATTACATCTGAGAGACACAGGCTGATTTCCTGATCTTGATCTGGTTGTAATTTATTTTTCTTACAGCAGGTCCTGACACCCACACAAATCTTTATATGATTCATCAGCTTACATACATTTCCTCCAAAGCCTTTTTCCCAATCATTAGTACAGATTGTGAAGAGTTAATGCCGTCACACTAATTCTTGCTCACGTAACCCCTCCAAATCAACCCCATGTGTCACTACCATTAATAACATCCTTCCATGAGTATGCAACCAATTCCCTCTCCAACCTAAAGTTGCACATTAATCCTACAGGATTTTAATTTTATTTAATAGCTTATTGTTTGCACCTTGACACATGGGCCAAACTACAGATACTGATAACAATCTCAGAAAGAAGAAAACAGTTGATATGCTCACCTTTAGGAAATTTAAAGAAAATTAAAATGATAGACTGTGAATTGAGTAACACTGACAGAAATCCTTATTAATAAAATCAATGTGTGATTCGGTCATTCTAAACTTCTTCTGAAGCAACTTTGAATGTTTAACAGTATTAAAAGTACAATACAAACACAAGTTGTTATTGCTGTAGTTGTAAATCAGAGGTCCCAAGCATCAAACACAAAGGGAGAATAAGAATGTAACATGAGAATTCTGTTGTGCATTTTATTTGGACATTAAAATCCACGCATATCGAAATAAATGTGTCCATTAAGGATTGTTTTAGGTCTCCTGTGTTCAATTACAGTACTAGGGCTAAAAGGAAATTACTGACAAATTTATGGAATTTGAGCAATGGGCTCTGTCTTGAACTACCTGATAATTATGAAAATTTTAGAAGTGAGCCAGCCAAAAATATGCATGCAAGCCAATGACACAATGCTTATTCGATGACAACTGTAGCCTGGCCTAATCATCATTCGGAATTTTAAGTCTGCAGTCTGTCATGCAGCCTGCACACAATCAGGTATCTGCCAACTGGAGCCAGTTCTCTCTTTGGTCACTCATCAAGAGGGTAGTCAGAGAATGGTTAGTGATTCCTGCCTTTCCGTCCCCGTATTGGGGATTTCACTTCAGATCATGGGAATTGTGTATACATTTCCAGACGAAAAATTTGCAGGACTCACAGGAGAAGAATAGAGGGAATGGGACGAATAGAATGAGTTTACTAATGGGTGGACAATGGGCTGAAAGGTTTCTCCCTGTGCTAAACGATTCTGTACCCAAGGCAGGATGGAGAATGTTGCTCAGGTATTTACTGTGTCAGATTTTTGGGACAGTCAGACCCCACAGCAAACAGGTGGGCGACAGAGCTGGAGAACAGCCAAACACCCCGCAATCACCGTGTATCTGGTAACGAAATCGATTCTTAACCGCAGTTCCTTAAAACCCTGCCCTGTTGCAAAACAAACTCCTTCGGTGCCACGAGCAATGTTATTCTGCATCGACAGGCTCCTCAATAAACGGGTCAATGGGCTCAAATCCAGCAAGATACAAACTACAATTCCAGCGAGCTGGAAAGATGGAACGTTAAAATGTAATAGGCTTCACCTTTACCTCTTTTTCTTCCTCCTCTTGATACTGGTCATAGTAATCCTGGTTGGACTCGTAGGCAGAGTTGGGTCCCAACAGTAGGACGTGCACGAAGGACAGAAACACGAACAGCCCTGATAGACTCCAAACTCGCCTAGATTTCTGACAGCTCCGGTGAAGCAACTTGCTGCAGCAAACGTGCATTTTCTTTTTTTTTGCTTTGTGTTTCCTCTCTCTACTAAAAAAAAGTTGCTTGAGCATAAAAGTCTTTAAGAAGTCGAGGAATAAACTTCCCAGTTTTTTTTTCCGAAGAGAATAGTAGTCCAGACAACAAAACGTCCTTTTTGATTTTTATATATAAAAAAGTATTTAATAAGCACCAATGCGCTTTCTGCTCACAAAACTTTCGGGGGTGAAAAAAAACCTGCGCCTTTTGAATGTGGAGCTACTTTTCTGAGGATGAAAGTGGTCGCAGATTCAGAGGCTGGAAGTGCAATAAAAAGGTGGTTGATGCCTAGAGGCAGTCTCTGTGCGCTCTTACCTCACTGCCTGTCAGCATACTTTCCCCATATAAAAAATAAGTTAAAGCATGTCAGTGCAAGAAATCTAATCCTGCCCTTCGCCGACTGCGCGCCTACATTAACCCCTTCGACCCCTGTCACACCCCATGTTGACCAATTTGGCTGAGAATAGGCCATTCGGCCCTTCATTTGAGTCCTGATCCTGCGTGAATTGCTTTTAAACCAGCTGGGGAGGGGAACAGAGGAAAATGATGACAATGTTGAAGAAAGTGTGAGCAGAGTTAAAACCTTTGACTTCATCACAACCTCTTGGATGGATCTCTCAGGGTATAAAACTGGCATCGTCCCAGATCACCCACCCGCCCTAACTTTTGCCCATGTGTTGTTACCGTGCCAACAATCTTTTACGCCAGAGGCTGTACCTTACAAAAAATCAGCCCAACACTAATTGAACTCCAACTAATAGTCTTAGCCGAGAATCAATTCTATCTCTGGTGTGTTATAAAATGCTGGAACTCTCCCCTCAATAGCACAATGGATGTACTCGCAATTACACGGAGGCTCAGTGCTTAGCACTGCTGCCTCATAGCACCAGGGACCCGGGCTCAATTCCTGCCTCAGGCGACTGTCTGTGGAATTTGTACATTCTCCCCGTGTCTGCACAGGTTTCTACCCGCAGTCCAAAGATGTGCAGGTTAGCTGGTATAACCATTACCATAGGGTGTGGTGGGTAACCCTGTGTGGGATGCTCTTCGGAGAGTCAGTGTGGACTTGTTGGGCCGAATGGCCTGTTTCCACACTGGAGGGATTCTATAAGCATGACTGCTGCAATTCGAGAAGCCAGCTCACGACCGCTCAGGGCAATTAGGGATGAGCAACCAATGTAAGATTTGCCAGTAACTTCCACATCCTTTAGAACAATTTTTTTTTAAAAGAAAGAAGTTTTTGCATGAAAGTGCATGAGAGTCCAGAGGTAAAAATGATCTATTTGCAACATTTCCCTGGATGCAGCGAAGAAATTCTGCTGCAAGCCCATTTCCCAACCCATGGGACATGGACAGGTTGGGAAAGCAAAGTAGGCATGACATAAAGGTACAGTTGCTGTCATTATTTAAATAACTATTTTTATCTCCACATTTTGTCCCTACTTATGGAGTTGTAGATTCTTATTTGGGACTGGTTAGCTCAGTTAGCTGGATAGCTGGTTTGAAATGTAACTATACCAACAACGCAGGTTCCGTTCCTGTAACTGGTTGGGGTTACCATGAAGTTCCCAACTTCTCAACCTCATCTAAGGTGTGATGACCCTCAGATTAAACCACCACCAGTTGTCTATCTCTAATAAGCAGACCAGACCCCTGAGAGCACAGTGATTTTAACTTTGCCTGTAAATGGATACAGGTTGCTAAAATTAGTGTCCATTTGAAAATCAAAATGGGTGAACTTCCTACTGTAAATCAGTGCTTTCTTCTTAAGTATATTCCATCACTGCCTTTTATAAATGATAGTGACTGAATTACTCTTTTTTATCAATTTCCAAAATGCTGTCTTATGCTACTCTTCATGTGGCACACCCAGAAATAGGCTTATTTATATTATGAGGAGTTTGCTTCAACATTAGCTAAGCTGTGAAAAATGGTTCCCACAACTTCCAAACATCAATGCCACAGATGAAGTAGTTAATTCAAAAAAAAAATTTACTTTGAAAAACAGTAAATAAGAACAACTGAAAGGGAGGGAAATGTCAAGTTTGTAATTTAATCTGAAATCTTGTTTTGCAAGTTTAAGTACAGAATGCTTCACTGTTGTTACATGGTTTGAAACCACATTAAGTGGCAATTTTCTCACCACTGTCAACCACTAGATGGCTGACCAGTTACAGTCAATTTCAATGGAATATCAAGACTTAAACAGAAATAATTGCATAAATGATGCATGCCTGTGGCACGGAAAATCACAGAAACTGTTGGAGTCATAAAGCCTTTAGATCCTTTCCTGCGAAGGTTACCAATTTCAGTGCCGTCCACTTATAGCGTGCTTCAGATGTTATCACAGCTGCGGTATGTTATTTTCTATTCCTTCCTCATTCTGTCACACAATCCTCAGCTGAGTGGGTGGGCAGGTGATGTTCATGACCCCCTGGCAATATCACCTTTCGACCCGCTGCTGGGAGAATGATGGCTGCCTCAGTACGATCATACCTTGAATTCAATCTTCTTTGCTTTCTTCGGAGAAGTTTTTGTTCACTGCTCACTACTTTGAACAGTCCATTGTGGTTTGGTTTAGATCAGGGATTTACTGTTAGACACAAATCGCATATACGATATGTTGAGTACACTGATGATCTTTGCCACAAAGGTTTCTGTTAGGGTAAAAGTATGTAGGTAATGGTCCATATCTGTACTCTGAATGTGAAACAATGTTCTTCAACATAATCGAGGTATTTGGAAGAGAAAGACTACAATCAGGCTTATAATTTATCTTGTTTACTTACTAACCATTGAATGTTTTCTCCCACTCTCTCCCCTCTCTTGTAACACTGAATCTAATGCTTCATTGGCCCCTCATTATCTCATTCAAGTATTTATTCTTCATATAAAAGCCCAGACAATGATGGTGCATTGATTAGATGGAAAATCCTGCTATATAAGTAATAACCGAACAAAATCCAACAAGCTTCCTTAAACTTTGTATTATAATATTTAGGAAGGATGAAGCATGAGCAATGGGTGGAATGCTATTAATTAGAGAGAATATCGTAGCATTAAAAGATTTGAATTTACATAAAAGAGTTGTCTAAATGAAATGCTTTGGGATTGAACAATGTTGACAATATTCTTATGTTCAGTGTACAAATAGAACAGGAAAAGGAAAGAACTCAAAGACTGGAAAACAAATAAAACAAAATTAAGATTAATCCAGTTCTGATGAAGAGTCACCCTGGACTGGAAATGTTAACTGTGCTTTCTCCCCATAGAAGCTGCCAAACCTGCTGAGTTCCACCAACATTTTCTGTTTTTGTTTCAGATCTCCAGCATCTGCAATTCTTTGTTTTATATTAAAATTAATCTTGCCCAGAATAAATGGAAGATAAAATTGTCATATAGATTCATAGAAATTGAAACTATTAAAGGAGATAGAAGGTTTGGGGAAGGGCGGTGTACAACCAGAATTTTCCATGTCCTTTGGGGACTGGCTAGAAAGTGGGATAGTATCTGGGGAATGCTCAATACCTTCCTGCAGCCAATGGGGGGAAAGATGACATGTGATCCACCCATAGGGAGACTATTTGCACCAAAGATGAGGTCAATTAAAGGTCACTTTCCTCCTCCATTTTACCTCCATCAGGAGGTCCTGCCATTGCATGGGAAAATGAAACCAGTAGGTGAGAAAAAGTAGCATCTCTGAAATTTAAGGGGATTTGAAGTGGGGACCAGAGAGGTCGTAGGTGCTGAAGTGGGGGGGAATAGAGTGCTCTTTTAGGCGCACTACCTGGCAAAGACCACCCTTTGTGCACCATCGCTGGGGCTCTCAATCCCACCTGTTAATTGCCTGCCCGTGGTAAAATGGTCCAGGCAGGCCTTGGACACCTTGAGCCAGGACTTGTTTCTGCCTTTATTGCCTGGAGTCCTGACTCCTGCTGGAATATTTAACTGCAAGCTTTTCTGAATTGGGAGGAAGATCCAAGAGGTCCCCAAAATGACACAGAGTTGGTGAACAAGCTGCCTTATTCCGTGGATGAGCTCCAAGGCAGACCTGCTGTGGCCTGCTGAACTCCTACAGACAAGGGTATCTCTGACCATATGGGAGAGAACAAGGCTGCAGCAAGTTCTGGAACCAGAAAAACTTAAAGGGAAAGAAGTCCATGCCCCTGGTGGAGGATGAGCAGTTTTGGTTAGCCAGCACTTTCCTTCTGACCTTAGCAGGAGAGCAGGGAGCTTGTGATATAGTAAGGGAGGAGCTTCACCTAATTGAAGTGTTGCAGGCCAGTGGAGCAGGAGCCAGGCACCTGAATGACAGAATGGGACAGGATGGGAATGAACCCTCCTCAGAGGAATATAACAGGTCAAGTTAGTAACTCTGAAGTTCGACCGTGTGTGTGACTACCACAAGAGAAGTGAAAGTGCAGGTAGAACAGATTAAACACAGGGCCCAGCCAATCAATGAGTGTCTACCAGAAAGTGGATACATCTGAGAGCAGCCAGGAGAAGTCGATTGAGAAGGAGGAACTGGAGGCTACCCCAGTTGCCAGGCTGGCAGGCACCAGATTCTTACTCTTAAATGCTTGGTTAGCACTCATCGTCAAAGAGCAGCGGGATAGCATGGCCACCCAGTTCAGTAAATTTAAAGAATTCTACAGGGATTAATTGGGGTGGGTACCAGTAACATTCCATGGTGCAGATGTGGGAGAACTCACCCAACCCACCCCCCAATTCAGCTGAGCCTTGACTAGCCAGACCAGGTCAGGCAGGAAACACAGCACATGCTGGACAACATATAACTGGGCCTAGCCACAGCAGCTAGTTCCCCCTTTGCACTAGCCCCAAAGTGAGATGGATCAAAACAGCTCTACACTTGCTCTTGGTATGTAACCGGAACAGGTTCATTCCCAATTCCAAACTTTGGGGATTTTAGAGTTCAGGTGGACCACTTGGGCTCCTTCAGTAATACCAGCCCTTTAAAAAGATACTAGCATGACTGCACAACCAAAGGTTGAGAGAAAACCCAGCCTTTGTCACCCCTGATGGCTTATATTAGAGCAAAGTCAAGCCCGTTGGCTTTGAAACTAGCCTGGCAATCTTTCAGAGATTAATTTTCAGAGGCTGACAAAGCCAGAATGTGGTTGATTTCAGCAATTGTATAGTACACCTAGATAGCTACATAATTTACAACAAGTATCAGAGTAACCACAGATCACCATCATCTTTACAAATTTCTGAAGCAGGTCAAAATAACCAGGACCAGGTTAATAAAATAAAATAATTC